AATGAGGACCCAGTGATTTCTGAGGACCCTGAAGCTCTGACACCCTCGAATACCTGATGTCATCTTTTCCATTGTGTTTTTAATTAGTCCCTCTCATCCTCCTGGTCCCAGACCACCCACGAAGAGGCAGGACACAGGGCTCTCCCTAAATCCATCCTTTTCCTGGAGTTCAGCCTCTGACCAGGAAGTGGAAAACAGGATTTCCTCTGAGGATGTTCTCTGTGACCGACAGTTCCGGTTTGGGGAATGGAGAGGAGATAGGAAACATCACCTATGCTTCCAAACTCTAAAAACCCCTTTTCGTGGGTTTGAGGTTTCTTTCCACACTGGACTTTGAGCTCCTTCAAAACAGGGAATGTATAACTCAGAGCTGGAGAAAGACATGTTGCTATGGGTTCGAACAGATATTCCTCAACATTTTGGTGGGGGAAAACTGAATTCTCTTTTTCTTTTTAATTCTTTTTAATGTTTATTTATTTTTAGAAAGAGGCAGAGATGGAATGTGAGCAGGGGAGGGGCAGAGAGAGAGGGAGACACAGAATCCGAAGCAGGCTCCAGGCTTGCTCTGAGCTGTCAGCACAGAGCCCGACGAGGAGCTTGAACCCACGAACTGTGAGATCATGACCTGAGCTGAAGTCTGATGCTTAACCAAGTGAGCCATCCAGGCGCCCCCTTTTTTTTTAAGTTGTGAAATACATTAAGCATTATAAAAAGTGGGGAAATTTCTTTTTTCTCACCTGTGACTGTGGCAATCCTTCAAAACCCTTCACGGCCCAACTCCAGTGCTATCTCTTGCAGAAGCCTCTCCTTCCTCCGGACTTACAAACCACTCCTCACACCCCGTATTTCTGCATCACTGCTTCATAATCACAGCATCCCGGAGATCAACAGGCTGGCCCTTCACCTCAAAAATGGGGAAACTAAAGCCTAGTGACAAGAGGTGACTTGCCCAAAGGGACAGAATTTGGGGCAGAGCAACAAGAGGAACCCAACAGTTGCTCCGTCAGGGTTCTTTCTAGCATATTTTCTCCCTATCTTTGGTTTCCTGCCTCCAACTCCATCCTCCAATGCTGTGCCTCTTCATTTCTCCTTGCTTTCCAACAAGCCGTTCCCACTGCTGGAAATGGCACTTCTTCCCCTTCCCTATTCTATATAGTTCTACTATGAGGGCTGGCCTCACTGTCCTGCTAATGTTTGCATGTCTCTCCCCCGTTAGATTGAGATCCGACAGGGCATTTGTCCCATGAATCACCTTATGCTCAGCATCTAGAGTGCCCAGCAGAATCAACAAGGGATACCTGTTGAATGATGAGGAGGAAAACAGGTGCTGGCGAGGAAAGGAAGAAAGGGGAAGAGGCCTTTGCTGGGGCTAGATGCTATGGAAGAACACAAGGTTGATGTCCTGGTTGTTAACTATAGATGTGTGGCCTTGGCCCAGTTGTACCGTATCTGTCTTTCTCATTATGTGTTAAGAGGGGGTTACTGATGCCTGCCACACATACTTCAGTCTGGTCCGGGATGGGAGGATTACACGAGGAAGTAGTTGGAAAGCACTTGGACAAGTGTGAAGCAGTCTGCTAACCTAAAACACTGCCAATAAGTTTATTTTGCGAGTTTAAAGCCCTCTCGGTTAATCTAGGAGGCTAGGAAAGGTTCTGCCCGCCCCCCCCCCCCCCCCTTAGTAACATCTAGAAAACAAAGGCACAGAAACTTTTGTTCTTCTAATTTCCTGGAGCTCTTACAGTAGACTCAGTTGAAGATTCCCAGGATGTAAAATCATTGAAGTGAGCTCTTTAACATTAACAGAGCTGGGGCTGCCTACTTCAGGACACGAGGGAAGAGGGTAACTTCTGGTGTCGGCTAAAGGGCGAGCGGACTCCTTCTTCGGCACAAGTAAGGCACGGCCCCTTGGAGGACAGCACCTACGCGAAACCGCACTGACTACAGTATTCGGAATCCTTCATTCAGCTCAAGATGTTTGTTGTAGGAAGCTCTTCCAGGATTCCTCAGGCCTCAAGAGGAGTTGTATTTCTCGGGGGGCTTAATAAGAGCTTGGGCTCTGGAATTCTACTTGAGCTTGCACCTCTGCTAGCAATTTGCTTGGGTACATTATTCCCCTCAGGCTGTCCCCTCATCTAAGAGAATGACAATCACCAACCAGCTCGGGTCAGCAAGGAGGCTTAAATGAACCGCTGCATGTGAAGTGAGCACGGGCACGTGCTAAAATGATGGAAGCGATCAGGATTATGCTTCTGTGGCTCCTTGCAGTCTGGATCACTCCTTTTGACTTTTCAACAGTCTCATACTGTGGTCTGTTTCCAGGGTGTATCTGTTTTCCTTAGAGTCTCTGCAGCTGGCAAAGGCAAGGTTCAGCTCTAACTTGCCCACATCCACTTCCGTGCCCCTTAGCACAGTAAGGTAAGGCAGAGGACAAGTGAGCACAGACTAGCCAGCAAGGGGTTCAGAGGCTGAAAGAGGGGACATTTGGTGAAGGCAGGGGTGCCAACTGGCCAGGACCTAGACGAATGGGTTTGTTTCCCAGAAGCTGGGTAATGGAAGCTCCATCGTTTCCTTATTCCATTTGAAGAAGCACCCGTGTATCTATAAATGGTATGCCGTGGGACTGGATGAAAGGGAAAACTTCAGGCAAATGTCACTTGAGAGGCAATCATATCCAGAGTCTTTTAACCCAATTTTCCCAGTACTCATGCTTTCCCCAAAGACGCTTGAAAGCTACCTTAGCAACTAATTTACCAACTAACTTCCCACAGTAAAACGTTCTTAGACAACTTTCCAGAGGAGGCTTCAGTGATGGCCCCTCTTCTCTAGACATGTGTTTAGTAGAAAGAGACATGTTTGGTTGAATTAGTCTGCAGTCTAAATTCAGTCTCCGAAACTGCTTAAGTGTCTTATCAGAGGCCTTAAATTAGATGTGGTAACGGAGGGGACGGAATTAGATTTTGCCTAAAAAGCCTCAGGTTCAGTTTTTATTGTTCAGACAGAGAGCTTCTTGTTTGGTGTGAAAATTACAGGGTTCCCAGTGATAATGGTATAGTTAATGAGGCTGTCAGTTAATTCACTAGCATTCTCAGTTTTTTCAATAATGTGCAATCTAAATTATACCCACACTCGCTTCTTGGGTGAGACATTGCAGGCTAATGTTAAATGGAGCACACTTGAAGTAGCACTGACAATTCCGTTCCTTAAAAGTTGACTCTAGTGAAGACTTTAAGTGGGTTTTTAGGCTATTTATTAAAATAACTAAAGTCCCAAATGTAGCCTATGGAAACAAAGGGAAACACAGAATCATTATGGCCATTTCTACATCTTGATTTTAACCCCAAATAGCAGCGCTGCAGGGAAACAGACACCGACCGGTCCTGTTCCAGTGGGGAAGAGCACAGAGCAAGCAGGCTGCTAACTAACTAAAAACTGTTTTTATCAGATTATTACCTCAGAAGACCCCAAACGAGCTGGAAAGTATTTAGAGATACAAAGTCCCCTTCTTTCCAGCTTCCATATCAAACTTTGATAGAAGAAAGTGACATCTAAGTTAACTTCAGCAGAAGAGCTTGATCTCTCAAGTGAATGAGGGCTTTTTCCTTTTAGATTTAGAAATACGAATTTTAAACTTAATTTTTAAGAAGGTGGGAGAAAAAAAGAAGCAACCCTAACAACTTGGATGGATCTCAAGGACATTAAGCTGAGTGAAGACTAATTTCATCAAGTTACACACCGTGATGCCACATTTATGTTAACATCCTCAAAATGACAACACTGGAGCGATGGAGAACAGACCACTGGTTGTCAAGGATCTGGGCTGGAGGCGGGTATATTTTAAAAGCATAGCACTAAAAAAAAAAAAAAAAAAAAAAAAAAAAAAAAAAAAAAAAAAAAAAAAAAAAAAAAAAGCATAGCACTATGGAGTTTCTTTGCTGTTATAAATCAGTTTTGTATGCTGATTGTAGTAGTGCTGAATCAAATCTATAACAAGTGACAAAATTTCATAGAGTTATACACCAAAAAGTAAATAAATGAGTGCGTGTAGAAACCTGTGCAACCCAAGAGGTCTGTGGTTTAGTTACTAATATTGTACCCAATGTCAATTTCTTGGTTTTGATCATTTGCTATGGCTATGTAAGATACTATCATTGGGGGGTCACTGGCTAAAGGGTACACCAGAATTCTCTGCTATTATTTTTATAATTTTGGGGGAGTCTAAAAAGTTTTTTTTTTTTTTAACAAGTGTAGAAAGAAGGATACGTTATAGCAGAGTACAAAGGAAAACAGTAAATCTGAACATTTTTATTAAGTTCTACTAAAAAATATTAAAACACATGAAATACTCAAAGTCTGTAAAACACACTCATACTCAGTAATTTTCTTATTTTGTGATAGCTAGTGCTATAATGTTGAAAATGTTACATAACATCAACCTACCAGACTGCAAGAGTTTTACTTCCACAGAATTCGACAAATATGCATCCTAATTAAGAGAACATATATACTTGTTGTGTAAAACATCTTCAAGTTATTTTTAAAAATAAAACTTTCCCCTTAAATTCAATAAGGGTGGGTTTAGTTAATTTAGTGAGGGTCATGATAAGTCTATCTCATGTTCTTTTAGGTGACAGTGGGTAGACGGAGAGATGCAACATACTAGGAAAATGGACTTCCTTTTCACAAAGAACAGTTCAGATTTAGAGCTGGATACTACCTGTGTACGTAAATTTGTTTAAATGACTGGTCTCGGGATTTTTTTTTAAAAGTCGCAGTGATGCTGAACGGCTCTATTTGAACAGAGAACCTCACCTCCCACCAGTCAGCCATCTCCCAGACCATCAGGTTGCTTGTTCGGCTCTTTGCCATCAGCTGCTGCCAAGAAACAGAGCGGCCCTGAGAATGCTTAGGGATCCCCAAACCACCAAGCGGCTCTGGCTTCCCTAAGTCTCTTTGGGAGACACCCCATCCTCACATCAGGAGGGTGGTGAGTTTAAGGTTCAAAATAGTTTTGGCAACTGTCTGAGCCGCTTTACATCTAAGAAAGTGCCTACTGAATTCATACTGTTCATCTGCTTTAAAGTTTCAGGTTTGAAACTTTCAGGAAGAATTGGAGAGTCCCTTTCATTTTCTTTCTCAGGATGTTGGGTAAACTCTGCTTTTCCAGTTCGGAGGTTCACTGCAGGACTTGGTTTAAAGTTTTTTAATAAGAAAGCTGGGTTTTCATTCAATTGCTGCATTGCTTTTGGCCGCACAACTTCATTTGTAATATTTCTCAGTACTGGCATATCTGTGTGGGTGCTCACGGGTTCACAGTTGTGACAATTAATTATTTCACAGGTGTTCCTAGACGGCTCTGTCTGACAGTCTAGTTGCTCAGGTGTGGATGTAAGGTTTTGATTCAGTAAATGTTCACTCTTGCCCTCTGTATGGTTTGGAGGCTCCTCTTCATCTTCACTGTTGTCACTGCTTTGAATGAGTCCATATCTCTTCATATATTTTTTGGTTGCAAATGACATGTTGTTTGGTGAAATTAAACTAAGCCCCACTGTGCTTCTGTCTGTATTAATATGTAGAAGACTAAAAGATGAGTCACAGTTATTTTGGTTTGATCGACTGAGGGATAGTTGTGACAGCTGATTTTCATTTAAATATTTCAGAGCTATAGCATTCGCCTCCATGCTCAAATCCACGCCGTTGGGGCTTAAGCCACTCATACCAACATTAGCAAATGACATGTAGTTTAATCCAGAAATCACTGCTTCGGGGCTGATGCATGCCAACACACTGAAAGACACAATGGAGCAGGCCATCATTTATCTTATTTTGAGTATTAAATGCTGTTATTCTAAATGTGTTCCATTCTAAGAAAGCAACAAAAGGTTTCCAGTTTCAAGATTCATGGTGCTTTTTTATCTGAGTGTGCAAACATCTAAGTCTTAATGATCCAGGTACATTCAAGAGATAAATATGGTAAACTAGAAGGTAATCCATGATTCAAAGACTAAAAGTGGACCACAAACTAGTTCTCCTAAATTTATACATCAGTCATGATTTTAAGAACAAATACAATGCCCCCAAATGTAAAAGCCATTCAATTTTGGTAAAAATAAATAAATAAATAAATAAATAAATAAATAAATAAATAAAATCAAACAGAGCAAATATCTGATAATGTAACATTTACAAGCTTTGGTGAGTAGCTCAGAATATGAAATTGTCTGTAGTTGAAGAGACTCCATTTGTAATGAGTGAAAAACATCAACCAGTCTCTGGATATGGGCTACTGTATGTATCTCTGTATACACTAATTTTCTTTCATTAGATATAATCCTCAACTTACTTTTGGTTGGTGTCATCTCATTAATATTAACTGACTTGCCTTTTTCCTTTATATCATAAATACAGTAATAATAGCTGCTAATTTTTACTGATGCCAGATTATGTGCCAGGCACACTCAGTATCTCATTTAATCCTCACAGAAACCTTTCTCAGAGGTATCTTGCCTTTCAAATATTCCAACCTCATTGTACACTCTATACAACACTTCACATTTACATCATTTATTGGCATTCCATATATTTAACTCACATTTCTTTTTTTTCTCTTAACTTTTTAATGTTTATTTATTTGAGAGCGCACAAGCGTGAGCGGGTGAGAGGCAGAGAGAGGCAGAGAATCGGAAGCAGTCTGTGCTATCAGTGCAAAGCCTGATGCGGGGCTTGAACTCATGAACTGAGATCATGACCTGAGCTGAGGTTGGTCACTCGACCAACTGAGCCACCCAGGTGCCCCCTTTTTTTTTTTTTTAAATGTTTATTTTTGGGAGAGAAAGAGAGAACACGAGAGGGAGAGGTGCAGAGGTGGGTGGGGCACAGAGGATCTGAAGTGGGCTCTGCACTGACAGCAGAGAGCCCAATGAGGGGCTCGAACTCACGAACTGTGAGATCATGTCCTGAGCTGACCTGGACGTTCAATGGACTGAGCCACCCAGGCGCCCCTAATTCACATTTCTTATTTATCATCTAGCTCCTTCAGGAAAGCCCATGAGGGCAGGTATTTTTTTTTTTTTTTAATTTTTTTTTCAACGTTTTTTATTTATTTTTGGGACAGAGAGAGACAGAGCATGAACGGGGGAGGGGCAGAGAGAGAGGGAGACACAGAATCGGAAACAGGCTCCAGGCTCCAAGCCATCAGCCCAGAGCCTGACGCGGGGCTCGAACTCACGGACCGCGAGATCGTGACCTGGCTGAAGTCGGACGCTTAACCGACTGCGCCACCCAGGCGCCCCGAGGGCAGGTATTTTTAAATCCACCACCTCATGTCAATATCCTTGGTGCCTAAACAGTGTCTGGCACATAGTAGGCACTTTTACTGAATATTTACTGTATGAATTAAAGAAATAAGTACTATTATCTTTATTTTATAGCTGAAAACACTAAGGAATAGGGATTTTTTTTTTTTTTTCACTAATTTGCCTAAGCTGAACAGCTAAGAATTGAAAAGCTGAGCCCAGGTCGCCTTATTCTCTAGGGCTCTACCACCCCTGTGTTTCACTATTATTTTGGTATCAGTTTTTCTGTTCCCTAAAAATTAGAGTCTTTTGTGTACTGTTTGTTGTGGTAAACATTATATTCTACTCAAATACACTGTAATTTTGCATATCACCCGATGAAGAAATTCAGTTGTTTTGTATGTGCCAGCCACTGTCTGCATCCCTACCCCCATAAAACCCAAATAATGAGCAGGTATTTTCATTCTGAGAAGTATCTGAAATTTTGAAGAAGCTATTTTCAACCGTTAATATTCCTGAAACCAATGATATCATCATCAAACAATGAAACAGTGTGCTCAATAATGTTGGTCTTTAAAACCACCTTATAATTTTCCCTTAATCTTCTTGGTACTTAGGTACTTAATACGATGGAAGAGACACCAATATATCTAGACATTATTCTTTTATGAAATGTTCACAGTGATAATATTTTCTAAATATAGAATCTTTTCTACTTTCTTTGCCTATTTCTTCAAAATTATAAGCAATTTGCATATTAAATCAGAAGACCTGTACATGTTAAAAAAATATATCTCTCTAGAGATAATATTAATGTAAATAAACTAAAACTTCTATTTCAAAATGCTAAATATTTAGAAAAAGTAGGTCTAATTTGAGTTACATCTTCTTTTATTATAGAATAGCTAAAGAATCTATATACATCCACAAACCAGTCACTATCAGTTTAGAAGGTTCTTCAAGTTACATTGTGTAACACAGCTAGCTAATTTCAATTAGGGGTTAGGGGAAACAACACTACTTTGAAAACAAAACAGATCAATAAGGCTCAAAACGAATGCATATAAACACTAGGGTAATTAAAGATGAGAAACAACAGGAGGCCACTCACTAATCAAATCCTAACAGCCTTGAGCACAAATATACTATGTTAGCATCTCATTAGATGGACAGTCTCAGAAGGATGATGAGAGTCCATTTATGCTTCTATAGGAGAGTCCCAGGCCAACAACTATTCCAAAATTACAAAAATTATTCCAACTTATTTAAAGATGAAAACTAACTTTGACTTTATTGTTCTGTTTGAATACCAATTAGTAAACTCCTACTTATCCTACACTGGGTTTTCAACTAATAAGTAGAAAGGAAGGAAGCGACTAAAGAGACTGCTTAAGATCTGTTTTGAATTTGAAAGGAATTGGAAATATGCCTGTAGAGGCTGCTGCCAGACCTCAAACCACAATCTCCATCTTCCCTACAATTTCTAGGGGTAAACTTGTTTAGCACCTTCTTTCATTGCTCTCCTGCCTTTGGACCCTCCTAATCTCTGCAGTTCTGAACCTGGAAAGCAGAAAGGAAATCTTCCTTCCCTTGTCTCAGTTACTCATCTGGTGGGAGGATCTAATTCCGAAGTCTGTACATGAAATGAGTTCTCACATAGGTACAATGACAAAGAATAGGTGGTTTATAAACTAGGGGAACAGTGTAGATTGTAAGAATTATAAAGAGTACTTTCCTGGATTACTAAACTATAATTTGTAACACTATTTCCATAGGAAAATGTACCTTAAATTCTAAACGCCTGCCTTATGAACTTTTAAGCATACCAGTTATATTATACTCATAGATGTTAAAAGGTAACAAGGCCACAAATACGGACAATAAGTACCGAAGAGGTGCTAAAAATAAAGCATTCGCTGTATGCTTCAATAATGACCCAAACAGATGGGATTTCACTAATTCAGCAAATGACTCATGGAAGACCCACCAAGTGTGATAGAAGCAATGAAGATTCAGAGATATATACTACTCATGATCTTGCTGGAAAACCTATCACAAGAATAGGCTATAGAATAGGATATATTAGGAACAAGGTAGTCTGAGTAAAAACATCAATATTCTGGTGAGGGGCCCAGGAAAGCTTGACAAAGGAGCTGCCATCTGAGTTCAGCCTTGAAGGATAAGAGGATTCTGGCAGGCAGAAAGGTGAAAAAGAATATCCCAGGTGAAAGTAACAGTGAGGAACCTTGCAAATCCCAATGGTGGGTAAGCTGGAAGGCTGGCAGACAGTGGTAGGAGATTATACTAAAAAAAATTAGTTTGGGGCACCTGGGTGGCTCAGTCGGTTAAGCGTCCTTCGGTTTAGGTCATGATCTCATGGTTCAGGAGTTCGAGCCCCAAGTCAGGCTCTATACTGACAGTTGGGAACCTGGAGCTTGCTTCAGATTCTGTGTCTCCCCCTCTCTCTGCCCCTCCCCTACTTGTGCTCTCTCTCTCTCAAAAACAAACATTAAACAACAACAAAGTTGTTAAAAAACAGAACAGTTTAAGACAAAAAACAAGGGGCGCCTGGGTGGCTTGATGGGATTTAAAACCTCGACTTCAGCCGGGTCAGTGGAGCCTGTTTCAGATTCTGTGTCTCCCTCTCTCTCTCCTGCCCTCCCCGTTCATGCTCTGTCTCTCTCTCTGTCCAAAAATAAATAAGCGTTAGAAAAAAAAAAAAAAAATTAAAAAAAAAAAAAAAAAACAAAAAACAATATGAATTAATTAATTAGGCTTTAGATTCTTTCAGCCTAAGATTAATGACAAACAAAATCTCACTTCTTTGTGTTGGAGAAACAGTTTCAGTGTGGTTTCATTTTTAATCATAATAATATGCAGAAGCCATTAATAATCAATAAAATATAAATTGAACCAGTTCTTTGGGCGGTGGGGTGGCTCAGGTCCGCGTTGGCCGACTTTGACTTCAGAGTCGCGCTCACGGTCGTGAGTTGAGCCGCCGGCAACGCTCAGGCTCATGGGCTTGGTACAAGGAGGCCTGAGGCCTCTCACAATTCATGTGTCTCCTCTCTCTTTTCCTCCCCATTCATGGTCTGTCTCTCTCTGTCTCAAAAATAATGAAGCAGTTGATAAAAAAAAAAAAAAGAGGAAGTTAATATATATTTTTTGGTCTAAATCAACCTGCGTGTTCAAAGGACAGATTTTAATATTAAGAATAAATTATAATGCATAGTGATAAAATACTGCTAATGCCCTTCAGAATTGCTCCCTATGTGTTTCTACAACATACTATATATATCCTTCCTTCTCATAGGCGGTAACAGAATATATCATAGTTGACTATGTGTCTTTTCCACTGCACAATGGGCTCTGTGAGGGTAAAGATGTCTTCAACAGGTTATCTTGTATACCATGATGTCTCTCAGAGCTGGCTCAAAATAAATAAACATTATTGAAATAAAATGGAATAAGAAAAGTATTGGCATAATACATATATACTGAGATTAAGACTATAAAACCTTCTCTTTCAGAAAGCAATGTCACAACAGCTTTAAAATTTTCCTACCCTTTTGACTTAGTCTTTCCATTTCTGAGACTGTAAGGCAATAATCCTAAAACTAAAAAAAAAAAAAAAAAAAAAAAAATTGCAATCTTTGCAACAAGATGTTCATTACAGCAACATTTCAAAAGGGGCACCTGGGTGGCTCAGTGGGTTAAGCGCCTGACTTTGACTCAGGTCATGATCTCACCGTTTGTGAGTTTGAGCCCTGCACTGGGCTCTCAGGCTCTCTGCTGAGCAGGAGCTCACTTAGGATCCTCTGTCTTCCTTTCTCTGCCCCTCCCTGAGCTCTCTCTTCCTCTCTCTCTCAAAAATAAACAAACACTAAAAAATTAAGTAGTAAGAAATTGGGGCGCCTGACTGGCTAGCTGGAAGAGCTTGTGACTTTTCATCTCAGGGTTGTAAATTCAAGCCTCACGTCAGGTGTCAAGATTACTTAAAAATCTTTTTTTCGTTAAATGTCTGATTATTTTTTAGAGAGAGAGCGCAAGCAGGGGAGAGGTATAGACAGGGGAAGATAGAAGATCCGAAGTGGGCTCTGCGCTGACAGTGAAGAGCTCGATGTGGGGCTCAAACCCATGAACCACGAGGTCATGACCTGAGCCAAAGTTGGACACTCAACCGACTCAGCCACCCAGGCACCCCCCAAATAAAAATCTTTTTTTTTTAAAAATTAAAATTAAAAAAAATAAAATAGAAATTGAAGCCAACTTGACAAGTTCTTTTCTGTTCTGACAAAAGGGAAGGGTTAGGTAAACAAATGCTATATATCCCACTTAATGGATTAGGATATATCCCCATTAAAGATGATGGTTAGTAAGAGTTACAACAATTTGGAAAACATGCTTATTTCCCAGTGTAAAGCCAAAAAGAATTTGGTTTTTTTTTGGTAGACACAACACGGTCAAAACACAAAGTAGCAAACTATACACCACCATCAGACCTCACCAAAAAATTAAATGAGCAAGAGAGCAAAACAGTAATAAAACAAAACAAAAAACAAACTATGGACTTTGGAATTAGAGAGAGTAGGTTTAAAATCACAGGTATGGGGGCCTTGATCAAATTGGTACTTAATTTCCTTATCTATAAAATAGGAATAATAATAGTGTCTACTATATAGATTACTAAGGGTTAAATGAAAAATACTGCATAAAAATTCAGCACAGTTCCTGACACACTATGAAAGCTCAATAAATGGTTGCTGTTAAAAATTATTTTAGAGGGGGGAAAAATTAGAGTGGTACCTCAGTCAGTTGAGCGTCCAACTTTGGCTCAGGTCATGATCTCACAGTTCGTGAGTTCGAGCCCTGCATCGGGCTCTGTCCTGACAGCACGGAGCCCACTTCAGATTCTATCTCCCTCTCTCTCTGCCCCTCCCCAGCTTACACACTCTCTCTTCTCTCTCAAAAATAAGTAACATTTTAAAAAAAAAAAAAAAAAAAAAAAAAAAAAAAAAAAAAAAAGAAATTCTCCAGAATTAAAAAATTATTTTAGAAAAAGAAAAGGAAACACAAAAGCAAAGTTTTAATAATAAATGAGTTTGATTGGGATGAATATGGTTTTTCTACATTTTACAAAATAAGTTTATATTACTTTGACAATGAAAACAAATATCAAGTTCTATTTCCAAAGTTCTACAATATTTTATACAACTTATACCATATAATAAAATCTAAAAGATTTTTTTCACATAAAGATATAACTATGTTACTTACCCCTCTATGGAAATACCTAATTTAACATATTGTTTCGAACTGAAAAACAATTTTTTTCATATTGGCTTTCACTTCCTTGAGAAAATTATCTTATATGAAATTAAAATCCTATCTATGAACGTATATCTATGAGTTTTTCAACTGGTAATCAAATTTTAAAAATGGGCATAGCCCACAGTATTAAAATTCATAAAGAGGGGCGCCTGGGTGGCGCAGTCGGTTAAGCGTCCGACTTCAGCCAGGTCACGATCTCGCGGTCCGTGAGTTCG